GGCACGGGTTAGGGGGCCTCAAGGTTGACCACCTGCCTCACTCCCTGATCCAGCCAGTTTGCTGGCCCCAGTGGGCACCATAGCAACCCATTGTTAGGTTGTTATGGCCATTATGGTAGCTGCCTATATATATAGGACTAGAGGCCCGCACAGAGGCGTGGTGTCCCTCAGGACAGCCTGCACCCTCTCCAATCTGGGACCCATTGGAAGATGTCTCACTGCCAGTTTTGGCCCAAAAGGATCAGGCCTAAACCAGCAGTCAGATATCCCTCTCACAATCCGGGACTGCTGGCTCCTAACCACTCGCCTGCCCGCCTGTGGCCCTGATTGCACCTAAATGCTTCTGACTGCCAGACTGATTGCCCCCAACCACTCCCCTGCCAGCCTCATTGAAGCCTGTTACCCTGCCAGACTGATCGCCTCCAATTGCCCTCCCTGTGGCCTGATCGCCCTCAACTGCCCTGCCCTACAGGCCTGGTCACCCCCAACTGCCCTCCCCAGCAGGCCTGATCTCGCACCCAACTGCCTTCCTCTGCAGGCCTGATCTCACCCCCAACTGCCCTCCCCTACATGCCTGTTGGCCTCCAACTGCCCTCTCCTATAGGCCTGGTGATGCTGAACTGCCCTCCCTTGCTGGCCTGATCTTGCCCCCAACTGCCCTCCCTGCAGTCCTGTTCGCCCCTAACTGCCTTCCCCTCATGGCCTGGTCACCATAACTGTCCTTCCCTGCCAGCCTGGTCGCACCCAACTGCCCTCCCCTGTTGGCCATCTTGTGGTGGCCGTCATGTGACGGCCATCTTGTGGTAGCCATCTGGTCATGACATGAGGGCGGCCATGTTGTGATGACATGAGGATGGCCATCTTGTGACGTCACATCAGCCATCTTATGACGCCATCGCATGACGCCACCTAGGCTTTTATTATATAGGATGTTCATGAGATATATTTTCTGATTTGGGGCAGGGGAAGGATATGAATAAATTAACTGACATTCATGAGTATATATTTAAGTCTTGTGGCTAGTAACAAAACAGGATTCTGAGCAATTGTTAATTCCCATTGGGAATGTCAAGTTTTGTATTTCCTTGTAGAGCACTAACCTATTTTCGACCTTTGATATCTACATGCTGTCAGGATCCCTTTTCTAAATTCAAACCCCGCAAACAAGTCTGTCCTGGACACTTTTCTACTTCAAGGGTGTGCTCAGCACTGAGATGGAAGAGAAGGGATGTTCTTTTCCCACAGTGAGGAATAAGCAGCTTCCTATCACACTAGGTGTCAGGTGAGGGCCCCAGGACACAAGCACAGCGGATAGCGGCCACCCAACTCAGCACTAACTGGGGGAAAGAACACTCATGTGCTTATGGGAGATGAGAGGCCAGGCTGGTAAGGCTAGCCAGGGCCTTGGATGTTGGAAGAGGGAAGAGCACACAGTTGTCAGCGTGCAACACACCAGCACACTGTGAAGAGCCAAAACGAAGGAAACATCTGTGAGCAGCGAGGGAAACTAGAGGCAGAAGTCTCAGGGTCAGAGCAGGAAAGCTGTCTAACTTTGTCATGATACAAGGACACCAGAACCTTCCATGTTTCTCATATTTTCATTGTTCCTCTTCCCTAGGAACTGATCAGTAGCCGTAGAGGGGTATGAGGTCAGAACATTGGACTATTTTCATAGAGTACTCATTCAGGATTGCAAAGATGTGTCTTAAAGAGTGTTGTTTCTTTCATAGAATAATTAAATCCTCAATATATTAGGTTACTCTCAATGCAAGTAGAATCATTTCTAAAATATGCACTTTCAGTGTTTAAACTGCTAATTATCTGATTGATTCTGGGCTCTTATAGCTGACCAGCTTCGCAGGATGGAGCCCCACTAACCTGATTCATAAAATCCTCAGTGCTGTCTTTATCAGCCACAAATTGCCTTCAAAATAAAGATACAATTTCTAAGCCTGGGAGTCAAGGTCATTCAAGCTGGCTCCATGCTACCTGTGAACATTGTCTTGTCCTGGTCACTGTTAGCCACCCTGTGCTCCAAGCAGGAGTCCCCTGCACACTTACTTGAACCCATCATACCCTTCTCTGCTTAGGAACACTTCCTACTCATGTTGCCTTCCTTCCTTCCTTCCTTCCTTCCTTCCTTCCTTCCTTCCTTCCTTCCTTCCCCCTCCCTCCATATCCCTCCTGTATATAAACTTGCTTCACAGTTGTAAGTTTAACACTGAGAAATCAAGGACACTGAGATTTAAAAATCTAGTGAACACACTATTTCTTCAGTGTTGCATTTCTGGAGTTTAACCTTTAAAAACTTGATGACTTTTATCAGGTTCTTTATGGGTGTTGTGCTTTGCAGTTATGTTTATTTTCCCACAGTGGGAGCAGCTAACCAGGATGAATGGCACTCCCACAGTGGGAGCAGCTGCTCAGAGGGCGGGTCCTAGCCACTCAGCTGACCGGGATAAGCAGTGCTCTCACAGCAGGCTGATCCCCGCAGGCCATGCCCCCCACCAGTGCATGAATCCGTACACCAGGCCTCTAGTAGTATTATATTCTCTTCTGGTAAGGGTGAGGC